CCCCCGTTTCTTCCCAACCGTTTCTTTTGATCGAAAACGAAGTACCGCGGTGGCACTATGCGGGTCAAACGGGGTCAAAACCATGTTTTGCAGGGACTCTGTATGAGGGGCATAAAAGTGCGGCTCCGATTTAGGGGTGAGTTGTTGGTGGGGTTGGGTAGTCGAGTTACCAGCCCGGGCCAAAAACGCTTCGCATTGCCTTGCAGATGGGATTGGTTTCAGCCACGCGGAGCAGCACCATCCATCCTGCTGAAGGCTTTCGCTTAAGGCTTTCGCTTAAGGCTTTCGCGCGTCGAAGGCTTCCCTGTCGCTCGCGCCTCTCTCGCTCAAGGCACGGCCCGTCTGGATGTAAGCCTTCACTGCTGCGGACAAGCTAAAGCGATTCACAGATGACTCGCCGTTTATCACAAGTGACTGAGGGCGGTTGTTGTTTTAGCCCCCCCCGCTTCCCCTAGTCAAATAAATAGGGGTGAGACATTCGAAAACTTGAATGCGCATGACAAAATTACACTCGCAAGAGATTGTGCGAAGAGCAGGTCACACACTCTTTGGTGGCGGAGAACTCCATTTTTTACAAAATGCACCACTTCTCGTCTGTGCATGTCTTAATGGTCACACACTCGTTTGTGTGACATTTAGTCATGCACAGAAAACGGATCAGATGCGCCTCTATTTGTAGGGCATGTAATACGCACGCGTGACCACATTGTGGCCAGGCGTCGCCTCTCACATGGCTCCATCCATGCTCTTGAAGACTCGGGACTTATATCCTCTGCAAGGCTTTCTGCTCGAGGCTCTGTTCTCCCCTCTACTCCACCGCCCAGGACCCGCGGGCGGGCGCGTGTGCCTGTGCGCATGTGTGTGTGATGAAAGTGAATTCAAATAGGAGATGGGTATACGAGATGCGAGGTTGGGTTGGGGCGGGGGCGGGGTGGCGCCTCGTCCTGCTTGGCTGATCATGTTGCGCTAGGTCTGCCCGGCGCCTCGCTCGCTGTGTGCACCGCTCCTCTCCCCTCCGCTTTAAAAGAAAACTAAGCTTCTTTTTCTGCCCCCTTCTTCTGTTTTGCCTTTTTTTGCGAAATGGGGTCAATAGCGAAGCGAAGGTGTTTTGTACAGGCCGCGCCCACTCGATTTGACCTTGGCCTGATGTTATTATTGTTTCAGCATCAATTCGGCAGGACGAACAAGACTATCCCGGTAAAGAGCAAACAAAGAGAAAAGGGG